CACGGTTGATTGTTTAGGGTACAAAATGAACCCTTTTGATACTCAATGAGCCAATTAAAAGTTTAATGATTCAACACCCTAGAACAATCAAGCGTGTCAACAGAGATTTGAGTAGAACTGAGGTTAATTTTCTCTTGGTCAAAGCCAGTTGGTATCCTGGCAGGCCTCCAATTAACCTGACTATTTTGATTGAATTTCTTTTTTCCTCTCAAAAGTGAGTTTGGTTTAATTACTTTATTTAGGATTCTGAGAAGGAAAGCAATTTCTACGAACGATGGAATGCCACCAATGTTACATCAGGAAGCTGCTTGTGGGCTGGCTGCTGGAGCAGTTGCAACATGTATTAGGGTTCCATTGTATTTGCATGTAGGCTACTATAGAGCTAAAATTGGATCACCTAACTTTTTTGCAAAGCCTTGGACATTGGCAGGTTTAGCTAGGTACCCAAAAATATGGACAAAAGGAATGGGTCCTTATGTGAGGTCAAGAACCAGCTTAGACTTCGGTATGCTTGCCTCCTATAATCCAAGTCTCCGTTATCTCAAGGAATCCTGTGGTTTCAGCCAATCTCACGCACAATTCGGTACATTCTTAATTCTTTTTTTTCTCTCTCAAAACTAAAATTTAATAAAAATTAAAGATATTGGAATATATATGGTCGATCATGCACATCTTATATCTTAAAACTGAACACTCGTTGTAATCCAGTAACACTGACTTTTCGAACTGATGATGAACATTATATTAAATAGTTTCGAGTTTTATTGTATCAATGAATTAGTGGCGGTGTTTAACTTTTAATTATTAACTCAGGTGCTAGTGCTATATCAGGTTTGTGTGCTGCGGCATGCGAATCAGCGTTTCGAAATGTTAGCTCCCTGGATTCCGCACTTAAAATTCTAAAATCAAGAGGACCCCTTGCATTCTGCACTGGGATTCCTTCTACTTTTGTCAGTTATGCACCTAATGTCATGGTAACCTCTCTCTCAAACATGCACAATTAATAATGCGCACACATTTATCTATCCATCTATCCCGAGTGCAGTATGATTTTTTTTTCACTTCAAATTGAGTATTTTACAAATTTTTACGCACAATATGTGCGTAGTTCCAGAAAGTTAAACATGAGAGTGCCGGGACAGGAGCTGCTGGAGCTTCCGTTGGCCTTGTGTAATTGGTTGATTGCGTGATGTTGGTGCATTGTTTTGCAGGTAACATGGGCTGTTTTAGAAGAAATCAGGAAACGAGAAAAGTCAATAGGAGGATAGCTATTCTAGTCAAGTTCCTAAAATTGATGAGATCTGAAGTTGGTTTGCCATATTGTATCTGCAGACACTGCTTCATGAACGCATTCAGATTTGAAAACAGTTTGGATTTTGAATATTATTGTATTAATTAGGTGGAAGCATAACTTCTGTTAAATGGTACTTCTACATTATATATGTATGGCTATATATATCTTTTGAACATGGACAATTTTTATATCTTCATCTTGGACTCTTATCTACATCTTGGATCCCTTGCCTTGGAGAGATAGACTTTGGTGTAAGAGGTGTATATCCGCTTTGTGCTTCTCTCTTTCTTCATACGTCACATTGCATATCAAATGAGGATGCATACGGATTCCGGAAAAGATGTTGATTGATTTTAGTGTTAAAGCTCTAACATGACAACTTTGTATACTATGAAAATGGAACCGAGATCCATGGGATTAGGATGCCGTGACATGCATTTTAGACATCTAACTTATTCCGAAATAGTAGGCAAAATGTTAAAAAAAATGCAAGAACCCTTCATATATAATTACCTACTATGTTGTAGTAATTTCCAAAAAGCTAATTTAAGGCTCCGGGAACTACTATTTCCTAGATTCTTTTTTTACATGCATTTTGCCAACACTTTGCCTACTATTTCAAAATAATTTAGAAACGAGGCTAGTGTCGGAGCTAATAGCGATGTTTTGGCGTGCCAGAATGCGAGGGTTAACGTGCCAAAGTGTTAGACAAATGCATGGTATGACACTCTAGCATTCACATTGTGGCACACCAAAACATCGTTGTTAGCCTCGACATGACAAGCATCGCGAATTGTCGACAGAATGCATGTCATGACATGCCATGCATTTTGTCCACAATTCGCGAGGCTTGTCATGACATGCCACAATGTGAGTGTTAGCGTGTCAAGGCAAGTCATGGCTACGCTAACACTCGCATCGTGGTACACCAACATTTTGCCTACTATTTCAGAATAATTTAGATGTCGGCGATTCATGTCACGACATCCTAATCCCATAACATTCCATCGCATGTCAAGCGCGCAAAACATCGGCAAATGCATGCCATGACATGTCATCGCATACCACGCATACAACAATGTTTTGGTGTGCCACGATGTGACGGTTAGCGTGTCAAAGTGTTAGAAAAATGCATTGCATGACACGCCACTCTCGCATCATGGCACGCCAAAACATCATTGTTGGCCTCGACATGACAAGCGTCATGAATTGTCAGCAAAATGCATGTCATGACATGCCATGCATTCTGTCAACAGTTTGGGAGGCTTGTTATGGCGTGCCATGGTGGGAGGGTTAGCATGTTAAGACAAGTCATGGCTTGTTAAGACATGTGACATGTCATATGCCAACAACAATGTTTTGGCGTGCCACGATGCAAGGGTCAGCATGTAAAAGTGTTAGGAAAATGCATGGCATGACCAACCCTCGTAGCGTGGCACGCCAAAATATCGTTGTTAGCCTCGCTATTACAAGTGTCGTGAATGTTGGCAGAATGCATGTCATGACACGCCATGCATTCTGTCGACAATTCGCGAGGCTTGTTATGTTGTGTCACGTTGGGAGGGTTAGCGACTAGTCATGTCTTGTCATGACATGTCATGCCTTGCACTTTGACGACAACCCGCGAGGCTTGTTATGTCATGCATTTTTTCTAACACTTTACCTATTATTTTGGAATAATTAAAAAAAAAAAAGATCTAAGAAAGAGTAGACCCCGGGGCTTAAACTTATTTTTTTAGAAATTAGTACAAAGCATGATGCAAGTCATACATGAACGTGTTCTTACCAATAAGAACACGTTAATTAGTAGAGCTGCAATTTTACTAGTGTTCTTACTGGTAAGAATAAGTTCATTATTTGAGCTAAATATTTACAAGTGTTCTTGTTCTTACTGGTAAGAACATGTTTGAAATGTTCGCTCCCTTGATTCCGCCCTTAAAATTATAAAATCAAGAGGACCCCTGCTTTCTTTACTGGGTTTCCTTCTCTTTTTGTCAATTATGCACCTAATGTCATGGTAACCTCTCTCTTTCACTCTCTCTAACATGCACAAGAATGCGCACACATTTATTTATCTGTCTGTTTCAAGTGCCATATGATTTTTCAGTTCAAATTGAGTATTTTATCACTTTTCTACGCACAATTTGTACGTAGTTCCAGAAAGTTAAACATAAGAGTGCCGGGACAGGAGCGCTGGAGCTCCCGTTGGTGCATTGTTTTGCAGATTACATGGGGTGTTTTAGAAGAAATCAGGAAAGAAGAAGAGACAATGGAACAATAGAAATTCTAGTCAAGTGCAGAGACTGCTTCTTGAACGCATTCAGATTTGAAAACAGATTGGATATGAAAGTTGAATATTATTGTATTAATTAGGTGGAAGCATAACTTCTGTTAAATGGTACTTCTACATTACGTATGACTATATATCTTTTTAACATGGACAATTTCTATATCTTCATCTTGGACTCTTACCCCTACTCTAGAGGGTAAAACGTTGAGGCTGTCTAGACGGTCGACCAGACTAAAATGGGAGTGGCAGGAATCCACTTTGTGGTTGCTGAAAAAAAGGCCTTTCTTTGTTAGTATAAGAGGAGGTGAGACCATCTTAATTACTTTTAATTCCGACAGTGTATCATTCATCCAGTCCGGAGATTTTTAGGCATGCCCGCAATATCTTCAAGGTGTTCCTATTTCACTCAAAACACATCCGTATAGCGAAACAAGAAAGTGAATATGCTAGCTCCCTGGATTGTGTCCTGAAAATTCTAAAATCAAGACGACCATTGTTTGAAGGATTTCTACATGTTTTTTTCGCGTTGCACCTCCTGCCATGGTATTCTCTCTCCCGCTATTGCTCTCTCTATCTCAAACACACGCAAACACGCACGCATATTTGTCTATTTATTGGAAAGTGGTTGATTATGTTATTCTGCTGCATGATTTTGGAGACTTCCTGGTTTCATTTAGAAAGGATTTGGAATCTCGACGTGTCAGTTGGACTGGCAATCTGAATACTAGAAGTCTGCAACAAGATGCACATAAACGTGTAGTCAAGCTTTCCTTTTGATGTCATGTTTCATTTCCCCTTTGTTTTGTGAGTATGTAGGGGATGTCATGCAACAGGGATACAATCACACAATCCCCAATGAAAGAATCAGGAACTTGTGGAATCAGATTGGATTTGATTTGGTTTAGATCTTAATTAATTAAGTCTTGGTCTGATAACATTTCTTTTCGAAGCAGATATGTTAAAACTTGTATTTTTGCCAAGATTAGAATCTTATTTTCTTCATCATGTTTGTATTTCGGAGATTCGAACCAAATATGAATGTAAAAAATACTGTCGTGTATCATAAGGTTGGCCACTGATGTCATGTTTCAAACAAGGTCTTGGTCCAGACGGTCAAATTTCATGAATGGGGAATCTGATTTGTTGCGAGTAGCCAAAATACCGAGGTGATGAAGAACATCAGATTAAGCGGTCATATATTTCGTGCTAAGGGGTTTGCCTCCAATAAACCGGTTGGTGGTTACAAGATATGAACAACTTGTCTTGAACCAGTAGGCTAATCAGATTTAACAGTAAAACGAATTCTGGCATGAAGTTTCAGAGGAACATTGATGAAAGAGAGCTTATCAGCATATATGATAAAAACTCGTTTCCCTTCTCATAAAATCATAAAAGTGCAAAACAGTAGCTTAATAATAATGTGAAACTTTTTTCCTTTTTTTATAAACTAAACTGCACCAAGAAACATTGTTCATCAAGTCAATGAGCAAAACTATCATCCCGCTGAAAAAGCGGTATCATTTCCGCTGCCAAACTATGTTGTACGAGTAAATGTACATCACTTTGAATCAGCTACATCAAGATGGTAAAAATTATCATGAAGCTGAGCAACTCATCTTAAACAGTGGCCAATAGAATTTCCACCTCTCCATCCAATTGAAGCAATGCTATTAAGCATTATGGCTTGGCCCTGATACCAAAAGGAAAAAAGAAAGGAAATAAGAGATTAGACTCGGTACAAAATCCAGAAACGCTTCACAGTGCACGAGGAGAGTTACAATTATACAGAAGGATAATAACATTATAGCATTAACTTCAACATCTCAGTCTCAATCATCGGCATCATTCTATTTAGAACGGAAAAAAAAAAAAAAATTAGATACACTTCAAGCAGACGTGAAATAAAATGCTTATCCTATATTAACTGTGCCAGAAAATAGAACTTGAAATACGTGAAACATGCCATAAAGATGAGTATAAAATTACCTTTTAACATAAGAGTCGTCATCGGTGTCAACCACCACAGCTTCACCTTCTACAATGTGAGGTGGTACCTAGGAAAGTTTGAAAAGAAAATTTACAAAAAATATTAAACACAAACAATAATGCAATATATGATTATAAAACCTATGGAATATCCTCAATGCACCATGGGATGGTAGAACAAGGTTTAGGAATGCCAACAAAAATATCCCCCTTCAAATTAGAAAGCCGTAATTTGAAATGTGTCCTATTCTAAGTTTATTGCTTGCTACAGGTTTTGCAAATACCTAATGTTATTTTGTAATATTACCTACAAAGATGAATAAATTTAAATATCAAACTACTCAGAAAAAATAGTCTTACTTTGACAGTGAAGCCGTTTTCCATCACAGCTAATATTTCCCTGCATTTTAGAGAAACATCAAGGGAATAGCAAAAGCACATAAATGATATAATAATATTACAGTGTACAGTAGTGTCAAGATGAGAACTGGAAACCGCTTCAGAATTTAGCTACAAGATCTGTAGGAGGAGCCAAGTCCATGATGATTAAAAGGTCTTATCATAGGAAGCTTTAGTTTAACAAGTTAATTGAGAAATCAATGGTTTAGGAATTGCAGGATTTTCTTTCTTTCTTTCATTTGCATACTCACAAAGTACAAAATTCCATATATACTGATACTGAAAAAGAAAGCAACTAGTGATACGAAGTCTGAAAAACAGATAATATTCCACAATGAAAACATACTTAGGTGCTTGTGCAGTCCCCCTCACAGGATTTTGTGCTTCCTTGACAACGCATGTCACGTGTTTTGGAACTTTAACGGATAAAGGTTTATCATTATACAGCTCCACTGTCACTTTCATTTCCTCTGTTCACAGTGATAACATATTTTAGATACATGGCAACCAATAATATTTTGGTATACTAAGTTTGGAAATAAGTGAACAGAGAGTAAAAAAAAAAAAAAAATCATGGAAATAAGTGAACAGAGAGTAACATGTACTATAATAAGTTTGGACCTTGTAGGTATTTAGCCTTCTTTCCAAACAAGTCCTCAGGCACATCGAGTTGATCAAGTGTATCAGGGCTGAAAAGAATTACAAATAGTACACATTATTTAAGGGAAAGTAACAGAAGAAAGTGAACCGAAGGCGATGCCAGAAGAAAATTTTAATATTATATAAAACTCACTCTATCAATACTACAATGCCATCACGATCTGTGCACATGTAAATGTAAGTTTTTGATTCAACAAATACTTCTGCAGCAATACATATGAAATTTATCATCTTAACTTAAGCACACACATTTATAATAGCTCAAAAATAAGGGACATGATTAAGATTAAAGGAACTCAGCCAACTGGAAATACAGTGACAACCCAGCACGTTCGCTTCAAAATTATCAAAACAGACATTAAGAATGGCACGAAACAGTAAAAGAATTTATGATGCGCAATGCATAAATAAATATCCAAGAAACTAAGATCATACAACAACCAGAGAATGCTAACATTGAACTTCGAAAAGTGAACCATAACTAGTAATAGGAATTTGCAAAGTTAAAAGTTTCGTACTATCAATTTGCTCATCCGTCAACAATCGTAAGGATGTCTTGTTCCCCGAGTCAACATCACGAACCTCCACCTGCAATGAAAACACAGCTTAAGATATCAGCATGGTTAAAAAAAAAAACATAAATTACAATCACAGCTTGTGACCAACACCCTAATAATGATAACGTCAGAAACACACCTTAACAACCGCTTTTCCTCTTCCTTCATGTGAATGATCCGCCTTTAACACCTATATAACAACAAATTATGCATCAATAAACTCCAGAATACTAATTAACAACACTAATCACCATTAAAGTAGATAATCAGCAAACTCACCTGGTAAATGCGATCTGGAAAAGGTATTGCAAACCATAACCCCGACCGCAATGCAATATATTTTCAAAATTCACAAACTTGGTTAGTAAAAATTGAAACTTTGAAAGAGATTCAAACTAAACCCAATGAAATTCCAAACCCACCATTCCTTGCAATGACATTTCCAGGTTTTACCTGCAGAATCACGAATCACCCAACCCATGATTACAAACAACAGTTGCAACTCAAAATACTCGAATTCATAGTACGAGAAACCTAAACGAGATTAAGGAACTTACATCGCCGCCGTGGACGACGGCTCCGCGTTGTTGAATGGCGGACCAAGGAGAGCGAAGCAGAGTTCTTCCGGTGAAACACGTGTTGGTGCTGTGGGTGATGGTGGAATCACAGCCCGGTGAGGTTAGTGAGTGCGATATAGAAGAAGAAGAAGAAGAAGAAGAAGTAAGGTGGTTAAGGTTCTCGGAGCGAGGAGAAAGAGAGGGCGAGGGAGATTCTTGCACAGCTTTGCCAGTGCCTGCATTTTTTTAATTTTTGCTTTTCTGCTAGAAAAAATTGGGAAATTTGAGAGAGTGAGAGTTTATGCTACGCGGCAGAAAACCCACGCTGAAAGTGAACGGTTATTTATAGGAAAATTTTATTTCACCTCGTATGATTTTTTTTTTTATTTTTTATTTTTAGAACGTTGGTATTTTTATAATAAGGGAAGAGAAAGTTCAGGTAAGCCACATAATAAACAGCCTAATTTGATATCGAATTTTTCATCTACGAGATTCGAATCTAGAACTTCTTCCTTTCGAGTGAAAAGAAATACTATCAGATCGTATTACTGAATAGCTCATCGTATAACCTTTTTGAACATCTAACTTAAATTTGGACCATGCTTAAACTTATCCAATGAAACATTAGAGTGATGTTATGCACACTCGCATCTCAACTTACCGCCAAACCTCCCCTTTCGATTTTAATTCTGGTTAGAATTCTATAATTCAATCATCCCAGATCGTCAGTTCATTTCAACTCCCTTTCAAATCCCACGACCAAGCCTTAGGACAGCAATTCCCAAATTTCATCCTCATAACCCATTTATACGGCAATCCTTTTGTCATTTTACAAGGTCAAATAAGTATTAACATTTTTATTATAAGGTGATAAAATGATAAGATAATAAAGTGAGTTTAACAACACTCAACTTAAAATGTTAGTTTTTTTTACTTTTTTTTTGTCGAACTTAAAATGTTAGTTGTCTTTATTATTTTATTGCATAACTAGCTAAAGTTTTGGAGTACAAATGAACAATGCAAGTTTGGGCATTTCAGTTATTTGGAGTACAAACGTGCAAGGCTCTGAACTAGACAATCGGTAACGAGCCAACCAGGATCCGCAGCGTAAACCCATTAGGTGTCGGACAAACGACAACAAAAATTCAGATTTTCTAGCGCAGCCGTCCGAATAAGTACGGAATAGGATCCGAATGAGATCGACGCACGATAATCCTTTCTATTTGAATCGATACAAAATTCATTTCACTTGGACTGTTGAGACTTGAGTAAGAAAAACCCTCTGAAAGAAAATCACCGACTGAATTTTCCCGGCAGCCAAACACCACACAAGGTACGCTTATTTTCTATTGCAAATTTTCTTCCTTTTTCTCTCCATCTTTCCGCTGCCAAGAGTCTTCGGAATTGGGAAAGAGAAGCATACTAAATCTTGCAGCTTGTATCTGAAATTTGAAATTTTCACTTTGCTTCCCTCTCCATTTGTTGCCACCAGACAGGTTGTTACGGTTTGTAGCTCTTTACATGCATACATATATCACTACGTGGAAACAATTTTCTTAATTTGCTATATTTTTCTCTGCGTTGGAAACGTGTATGAATTTTCATTGTGGTATTATTTGCAGAGATGAGAGATGTTTGGCGATTGGATTTGATGTGAGTTTAGTATCATAAAAGAAGGGCACTTAGTAGCTGAGGGGCAAGGAGCTTTGGAGCTTTACCATCGTATTCAAAAGGAATGTGGACGAATATTTTCAAAATCGTATGTTCATTTGCCCCCGTTCTCTTCATTCGTTTCATTAGCTTTGAATTCTTAAAGTTTCATTTTTTTGAGTTTATTCTTAATATGGCATACTTGCATTGCATCATGGCTTGAATGCTGTTATATATGATAGCTTTGCAAGAGAAAAAAGAAGAAAGACAACACTGATCTCATTTTTGAGTTTATTCTCAACATATTGAACCCCTGAAAATGTGTGAATTCAAAGAGACATTTCGGAGTTATTACTTGAACGGAAAATAAAAGCTTGTGCATAACTCAGTTATCTATGGTGAATTGCTTTCAGGTGTTCTCGTTTAGAAAGAGAAAAATATTTGTCTTCCACATGATCTCTTCCCCCTCCCCTTTTTATCTATGTGTTTAAGTTCTACCTTTTGCTTCCTTTTCTCCAGTTTATGAAACATGCAAACTGGGAACTCATTTACCCCAGACTGTTGGGAACCAAATGGAGGTGGACTCTGGGAGAATGGCCATCTCCTGGGTTTGTCCTACTTGATTGCCCTCAAGCGATGAAGATAGAAAGCAGAAATGCATCTCTTCTGGGCTCAATAGGTGATTATTTTCTTTCTCTTTCAAATGGCTGGGACCTGACAAGCTACCTTAAGTCTCTCTCAGAGGCACTCAAAGCTTTGAAACTTGGTCACTGCTTGTCCACAAATGCAAAAGAAGGAAGTAGTGGTCCTTCAACGGTGAGTAAAGTAGGCCTTCAATTACTGTTGTATTTAGACGTGTTCTTTTCCTTTCCTGATTATGGAAATTTCATGTCATCCTATATTTGGATAAATTTCTGATTATCCTAAGTTGCAAAGCTTTCTATCTTATTCATTTGGGACTCCTCTGAGTACGCTGGAAACTCAATTTACCTTACTTTTATGGTTATTTGAAAATTGTATTTTCTGCTAGTTGCTCAAGATAGTTATGAAACTATTTTAACTGCTTGTGATTAACATCCTATATTATGTTGGTTCTTTGTATCCAGGTGATTTATGTTGTGTGCCCCTTCCCTGAGCCTATTGCAGTTCTAAAGACCGTCGTTGAATCTTCTGTTGCTATTGGATCGGTCATTTTCCAATCAGGCAGAGAAAAGAGATCTCTATTGCACAGTCAGGTTTCCAAGGCATTAAGCTATTCGGCAACAGTGGATGAAGCATCAATATCAAATATTTTAGTACTTTCTGGGTTTAGTATTCCTAAATTGGTACTGCAAATTGTGACAGTGGATGCCATTTTTAAAGTTACAAGCTCATCACTGAATGAGCTTGTAATTCTCAAGGAAACTGCTTTTACTATTTACAACAAGGCTCGCCGAATTTCACGAGGACCATCTAGTGATGTGGTCCAATCATCATCACTGTCGAGTAGATCCCATACTGTCCTCACACAAATGCCTTCTACCACTCCGGGGATGTGGAAGGATTGTGTTGGCTCTTGAATTAATGGGCACTCCCTTCCAAGAGAGGGTGAAATTGATGCTAGTTTGAGGACTGGTGGCTGGGATAGTTCATGGCAAACAAGAAGTGGAGCAGTAAGCTGTGATCCCAACAGAATTGGAGATATTTTTCCTCAAGATGAGACTCAGCTACATGTTTGAACCGCTTTTTATTCTTGTGGAACCTGGTTCTCTAGAGCGTGCATTGTCACCCTTAGCTTTTGGTAATTTATCATTAGAATCTTCAAAGCCATTGTCAGATGACAGTAGTGGAGGCTTTCTGCCGAATGCAAGTTTGGGTGGAAATGCTGATTCTGAATCGGGCTCCCAAGATGGATCTGAGCCAGATAAGACTCCAAGCCTACATTGTTGCTACGGATGGACAGAGGATTGGCGTTGGCTAATATGTATCTGGACAGATTCAAGGGGAGAATTACTTGATAGCCACATATTCCCCTTTGGTGGAATTAGCAGTAGACAAGACACAAAGGGGTTGGAATGCCTTTTTGTGCAAGTTCTGCAGCAAGGCTGTCAGATATTGCAGGCATGCTCTTCTGATACCAGTGTTGCCAAGCCAAGGGACTTTGTGATTGCACGCATTGGAAGTTTCTATGAACTTGAATACCAAGGTATACTGAGTTCATTCCCATCATTTTACGTTTCAAAGTTCTTATTGTTTTCTGTTTTAAAGTTGAAGTTGTGTGTTGGTGCGGTTACAAAGCTGCAATGTATCGAGTAGATTTTTAATTTTTGAAGATGAACTGTGATGGAAGACGAAGTCTATATTAGGGATTTTAGGGTGACAATTGCATGTGAGATACAGTGGTTACATGGGTGAGAATTAAATTATGAGATGAAGTGCCCACATGCAGTTGGTATTCTTGTCAACCTTTTTTTCTGTTGGTAATTGCAATCAATTTGGTTATTATTTGTACATCTTGTATGTTGAGATCACTTTCACCGATGCTGTAAATTTTCATTCACAGCTTTTATTCACTACTCTCAAATTGGTATCGTGTTGAATTTGCAACTGCGGCGATCTCTGTCTGATGGGATGTCTGCTAGTAGTAATGGGCATTCCATGCAACAGCAGGAAATGAGTATGATTCAAGAAAGAACCCTACCTTCTTCACCTGGCCCTCTGTATGGCAGCTTTCACTAAAAAATATCTGGATATATGAAAGGTGGCTTAGGACAACCTTCTGTCAGAAAGCAGCTCGTGGGCACACAGTTAATGGACAGCTCAAGGAGTTTTATTCAGTGGGTGCAAAGTATCAGCTTTATTACAATTGCAATTGATCATTCTTTGCATCTTATTTTTCAAGCAGATACACAATCTCCGGGTCAGTTACTTCTTCCAGTCCTCATTCTGTTGTCTAATAACTAATATTACATAATGATGATGATGCTTTATTCTTTAAGGCCCAATACATGAACTTGGTTAGTATTTTTGGGATAATAGTTTTAAACTGAACGGAACAGCACCATATGCATCTTTCCGTTTGCTTAACAAAGTGCTCCTCTTCTTTGTTTATTTCTTTTGCGTGTCTCATAAAAAGAGGGAAAAAGAAGTATTAGAACAAAAGCTAACAGCAATAATTGGGACTTTTTCTTATGCAATATGAACCAGGGTTCTATAGATCAACATAAACAAGAGAAAATGTCTTATGGAAATAGTTTAGTTATCTAAATTACGCGAGTTTGTTTCTGAGACACTTCAAACCTTTTATTTATTTATCTGCCAAGCGGATCAGAGAAGTTAATGTGAAGTTTGATTATAATATTGACTCCAAGTTCTGTGCAGGAGCTCAAGGTGTTGTCGGTGTGGGCTCCTCAGCATATCTGGAAGGCTTCACACCGGTGAAGTCTCTGGTTCCAAACCTGCTTCTTACATTCTGATCCCATCACCGAGCATGCGATTCCTCCCGCCAACACCTCTTCAGCTGCCCACATGCCTCACTGCCGAATCACCTCCAAGCCCATCTCCTTCACAGTAAAGGCTCTGATATCCCCCTTTCTACTTGTTTTGTGGTTTCCAAAGCTGTACCTACTGTGAGGAGATATTGGAGGAGCAAAGAAGAATGGCCTTCATCTCTTTTGGTCAGTCTTATTGATCATTATGGAGGCAATAGCTTTAGCCAAGACAAAC